GGAAAAAACAGAAGCTGAAAAAAAAATGGAGAAGTCCATCTGTAGATTTTCTTTCAGTGCCTCAGACCTGCTGCTTCGCTTTCTTCTGGCCTCCTCAGGATACAGATGACAAATAGCAGACATCCGAATCACTGGTTCCCTCATGTAATGCAGCATTTTTCTGCACTGGCTTTCAATATTTTCTCTTTCAATTTAAAACTGACATGCATGTCTGTTTTTTCTTCCAGGATGTGGTTTGCTCAGCTTCTTGCATCTGTAGCTTTATGTCTTTTGCCAAACTTGGGATATTTTCAATAATTATTCAAATATTTTTTCAGCTCTACAATTTTTCTCCTCTCTTTCTGAGATTCCAAAGACACAAATATTAGACTCTCCTGGTCCTTTTTTTCTTTTCCATGTTTTTTTCTCATTGTTATTCAATTTGGATAATTTCTACTCACCAATTTTCAAGTTCACTGACTCTTTGGCTCTCATCTCTATTCTGCTACTGAGCCTACCCAGTGATTTTATTTTGGTTATTTCATTTTTCAGTTCTAAATTTTGATTTGATTATTTTTTATATAGTTTTGATTTTAATATGTGTATCAAGGGTGCTTCTATTGACTGTTTTTCAGTCAAATAAGTTTAGATTTTTGTGCTTCTCTGATTGCCAAGAAACCTTGGTTTATATCATGGACATTTTTCAGGATTATGACACACTGGGTCTTGTTTATATCTTGTGGACAATGTTGACACACATAACAGTGTAAACACAGTAGGCTTAAACTATTTCTTTAGAAGAACCTGCTTGTGAATTTGGCCCTTGGCTGGGACCTGGAAACTAAGCTTCTAAAAAGTTGTCTATACTGATATGAAATATTACCTAACTGGTAAAGGTACTTTGCTGCCCAGAGACCATCCTAATAATGTGATTTATGGTGAACATCTGCTTTTCTTCTGAGACTCTGGAATTTTGGTAGATGCGAAGCACATATGACCAGTGCCTATATGACCAGTCCCAAGTAAAAACCCGAGGCACTGAATTTCTACTGGGTTTCCCAGGCAGAAACACCGTACATGTGTGACTACATTTTACTGCTGGGGGCAGAGTGGGCACTGTGACCCATCACAGAAGGGAAAGAACATGGGAAGTTTGCACCTGGATTCCTCCAGACTCTACCTATGTCTTCTTCCTTTATGAAATGGCTGTGGATCCTTACTGTGTGGCTAGAATAACTCACCTGTGAGTACGACTACATATTTGAGTCTTGTAAGCAGCTCTAGTGAGTCACTGCACATGTAAGTGATCTCAAGAACCTCTGAAACAGCTGATAGTTTTGTTTCAGCCTTCTGTGGGCTGTGGTCCTCATGCCAGTTTACTTTCTCAAAGGTTTTACAGTTCTACTGGGGTCAGTCTGTGAGTGTACAACTCACTGGTCAGTCTGGGCCCTGGTGGAAGTCCATCTGTTAGATCAGTTCTCAAAGTGTTTGAATGCTAATTAGGACCAAATCCATACTTGCGCAGGTCTAGGGTGAGCCCAGGAGCTCACAGACAACTCTAAAAGGTTGCTTCCCAGAGCTCCACTCTCTCCATTACCTCCCCAGAATTGTCGGATCCCTGCTGAGGTCCCCTAGTCAGACACTGCCCACTTCCATGAATGTGCCACATCTATGGCCATGTGGTGGGAGGATAGAGAAAGAGGCCAAAAAAGCACTGGGGTTTGGCTGTGACTCTTGGACCTGAGGATCCACCGAAAGGGGAAGAAGGTTTCACTCCCTCAGGAGTTTTGGCACTTGCAAACTTCCCGTTCCAGGCTGCTCTAACCAGTGCCATCGCCTTCCTGGCCACAGAAGTGCTGGGAGGCTGGAGCATGAAAAAAATGGGGAGAAAAGAGAGACAGAAAGCCCAGCATATTCCCTCCATTCTATCTGAACTTTAGGAGTCTCTTTTCCACACCTGGAGCCAGAAGCAGAGGGTGTTTTCTGAGACTGTCCACACGACAGCGCTTACTTCAATGTTTCAGGTTACAACTTCAGGCTGAAAGATACTGAAGTTAAAAACACCAGTAAACTTTTAACTGGTTTGGCGACACTCTGAATTCAATTGTTCTTCTGCAATACACTAGCTGATATTTATTTTTCAGTTGTTAAGTATTCTGAGTTTTGTAGCTGAGTTTGGTAGGACATAAAAGGACGTGTGTTTTATCCATCTTACCTAGAAACAGAAGTATATCACTGACTTTTAAATTATATTTTTATATTGTGGTAAATGTGTCAAGCCTTGACTACTTAATGCTTTTAAGTTTCATCTTCTTACCACACTCTGCCCTATGCTGGACAGGGATGTACTCACCTGTCTCTGTGTTGGCGCCGATTGGTGGTCAGGGCCACAGCAATATTGTCCCATGCTTTCCAAACTTCTCCTTGACCTGGGTTCTCACAGCCCAGCTGGTGCCAGCATTCATCAAACACTGCTTTCCACTTCTCATCAGCTGGCACAGTCAGGCTTCCTAGTTTCCTGCTAACAAAGTCACAGAAAGCTTTTATTAATCACATCTTTTATGCAAAAATCCTGAAGAATAGGAACTTTCTTAAATATAACTGGGAATGCTTCTCTGACAGAACTGCCTAGATGGACAGTGGTTCTATTTTAAAAACACAGGATGAGAATTTTAAAGGGATGGCTTTTAGCTACTTAATGTTTATCAGATGCTGAAGTGCATGAATTTTTAAGTATGAAGCACATTAGGACTGACTCTTTTGTTTTCTGCATTTCCACAGAATTGATTTTGTATAATTGGTTCCAATTAAAACAAAGACTCTTTCTATGCTTTACACATCTGATAATGAGAATTGTAAAATGAACTACATATTGGGCTCTAAAAATTCTCTAACAATAAACATGGTACAGAAAATATATCAAACTCCAATCAGACAAAGAATCTGAGATGCCACCAAAATGCAAAAACAAAGGTAAAGCTGGAAACAGTAAGGGAAACTAGATACATGTAAAAAAAAACCACTTAGACATTTAAATTTTGCCTTTTTTTCCATATATGTAGAATTTATTATTCCACTTGGTATATACACAGGTTTAGTCTTGTCAAAATCAAGTTGTATAGGGCTTCCATTTAAGAATGCTCTCTTTCAATCAATTTGGATACCTGAACCATTAACAGTAAGATTATTCCCATACACAGAACTTTTATATTAAACACCTATGCTCTAAGGCTACAATCTAAATCAAGACTACCGATTTTGCTATCTATAGTAGTGTCAGCTGGAAAGTCAAGGAGAGTTTTACACAAAGGTTAAAAAAAGACTTTGAAAAGTTGTTCTGCATTTAAAAGATTAACCAGTTTGATAAAAGCAAGACAACCCAAAACATTCAATAATTAATCCAGAATTAACCCTAGTTACTCACAAAACTTTGGGTCTGTCTTTATCACTTTCATACAGACTAGGCTTGAAGTAGGTTCCAGTGATTTTTATACCAGATCCCCATTCTCCACTAAAATAACCTTCAATGTAATCTCCATTTGGCATAGTCAGTATTCCCTAGGCAAAGTTAGAGAAAATTTAGAATTTAGAAGTATTTCCCACTAAAAAAATCAGGAGGAAAAAACACTAAATGGTTAACATTTTTCTTTTTAACTTACTCTTTACTGTCCCCCAATTTTTAAGAAAAAAAAGTATGTGTCTGTGCATGTGCAAAAAGAGTATATGAAAATAATGCATGGATAGGAGAAAAAAAATCATGGGAAAAATTGGTTAAATATTTCGAGCTGAATGAAATGAACACAAGTTATTCAAATTTATGGTCTGCTGCTAAAGCATTACCTAGAAGCGTATTTATAGTTATAAGTGCCTATATTAGAAAATAAGAAAGATAATCAGATCAGTAACTTAAAATTCCACTTTACAAATTAGAAAAAAGCAACCAAACAAGAACAAAAGAGATAATAAACATCAGAGCAGAAATCAGTGAGAGTAAGAAAAATAAAAATAAATGAAATGACAAGTTTTTCTTTAAAAAGATACACAAAACTGACAAATATTTAACTAGGAGAAATATTTAACAAGGAGAAAAAGAGAGGATATGCAACTACAAAATCAAGAATAAAACAGCATGTATTACACCAACTTTACATAAATTAAAAAGGTTAAGGGAATACTAAGAGAAATTTATGCCAACAAATTAGGTAACTAGATAACACAGAAAAATTCCCAGAAGAAACCAAATTACCAAAACTGACTCAAGAAGAAATGGAAAATCTGAACAGACCAATTAGAAGTAAGCAAACTGAATAACAAATGAGCCATATAATCATCTCAACAGACATGTTATCATGTTATTCAAAACCCATTCATGGTCAAAAATTCAACAAACTAGGAATGGAAAAGAATCATCTATATCTGATTATAAAAATGTTTAGCTAACTTAATGGGGAAAGATTTAGTATAAAAATTATATATCTGATTAACTATAAAAAACATTTAATCATACTTAATGGTGAATGATTTAATGCTTTTCCCCCTAAAATAGGGAACAAGGCAAGGATGTCCACTCTTACCACTTCTATTCAACATTCTACTGGAGAGGCTAGCCAGTGCATTCAGACAAGAAATAAAAGCCTTCCAGACTGCAAAGGAAGAAGTAAAACTGTCTTTATTTGTAGACAATATGATCCTGTATGCAAGAAATACACACATACACACACACACACAAATAACAAAACAAAAAAACCCCTATAGAACAAATAAATAAGTTCAGCAAGGCTTCAGGATATAGAAATACAAAAATCAACTGTATTTTTTATGTAATAAAAATGAACAATCCAGGCTCCACCGCACCCCCAGCCCTCCACACCCATACCCCCACACCCCCTACACCTCCACCACCCCTACCTCTGCCCATCTCGCCTTCCTGCCTCCCCCTGCCAACCTTCCCTCCACACCTTCTCTCACTCCCCTCCTTCCATATCCACCCTGTCCTCCCCCAAACCCAACTACTAGTAAAACTGCACTCATTTCACTGCTTCCCCAGTAAGGATCTTTATATTTTTACTTCAGGATCAGCCAAATTCCACACAAACTACAAGCAACAGAAACCGGACCCCTCTCAAAGGCTTAAGGCTTCTTTGCTCATGTCCGCAGAAAACCTGTCGTTCTTCATACCTCCCCCAGAGACCTCCAGCCCTCTGTTGTCATCTGACTTCCCCCCATGTCCTCACTCAGACAGGTAAGCCCAGGATGGAGAAAAGTAGAACCTAATTCCAGGGCTTCAGGGATATTTCCAAATACTTCTCTAAGGAAGATGGGCAAAGCTGATATTAGGAGAAAATCACTTATTTATATATGAAGAGAAACTATGATGCCATGATTGGTCGAGGTCTCAGGGCCCCCCGCCACCTTTCATGTGTCCTAAAAACGAGAACCACAGAACCCTGTGGGTATGATTCTGATAAAGATCAGGCCTCGCAGAATGAAGATGAACCTCCTGAGGGGGCTTCCAATGTGCAAGTGATACAGAATCTGAAGGTGACGCCCAAGGAGCCAGCAGAGGAGAATCATGACTGGAATCCTATACCAGTGACTTCTGGCTCAGAGCAGGATGAGAAGCAGCTGTGCCTTCTGGAAGCCGCAAGTAACTCTGGTCAACAGAGTATGAAGACATCAAGTAAGAGGAAGCTTTTTGGGAACCCTTCTCTGGCTCCCCTGGCTATGTTCAAGTGTGTGGTCCAGGTGGGGGGATGGATCTTGGACAGGCCTGGGTCCAGGCTGGCTGAGGAGCTCACCAGAGTCACATACTTGAGTTGTCATCAGTATAAAAGCCACAGCACTATAGGATCCAAGAACCAGAAGGCTAATATCTGGGCCCACTGGCTGCGGGAAAGGAAGACCCTCATAGTGTATGAAGAGATCAGTGAGCCCGAGGAAGACTACTAACTCTCCTCAGGGATGTGAAAAGTGCCCAGGGTAAGAAGTAGAACCTGGTGGCTCTTCATGGATGAGCATGGCTGTGAACTCCTGCCCATCAGGTGTATAGCAAGTGAAAGAAAGAGTTAACAACAATGAAAAGTTAAGTACAATTTTTCTTAGTATGTGCCTTTCTGTTAATTATCAGAGTTTTGTTGATAAGTGAGATTTATACCTAATGCATATTTCTGTGTATCCACGTACCTGCCTTAGAAGACAAGTACTGTCAGGTATTCTGTGCAGAGAACAGCCCTGCCCTCCACCTCAGATGTGACTACTGAGGGAAGTCTGCTTTCAGCTGTTTTTCTCTGCATGTACACACACATACACGGTACCATTATGAGCATCTCCTGCCTACTTTTTTGCACTACATGTCCTGGAAAAGGCCTCCTCATCTTGTTTTCTATTCAGCAGGTGCTCCATGCTACAAAGCCCCATAATTTGTTTACTATGTATCAGTCACTGACATTTAATAAACAATGTTAATAAGCAAAAAAAAAAAAAATCCAAAAATTCAGAAAACAAATCTTTACAATAACATCAAAAAATACTTAGAAATAAAGTCAACCAAAGATATATTAGAGATGCACATTGAAAGCTACAAAACATGGTTGACAGAAATTAAAGATGACCTAAATAAATGGAGACATTCCATGTTCATGGATTGAAAGATTCAGTCTTATTAAGATGCCAGTTTTTCCCCAAACTGTTCTACAGATTCAATACAATCACTATCAAAATCTCAGCAGGCTCTATGGCAGATTTTGATAAGCTACTCCTAAAATTTATATGGAAAGGCAAAGGATCCAGAATAGCCAAAATGATTAAGACTTATAGTTACTGATCACAACTCACTAGAAATCTACAGCAATCAACACAGTATGGTATTGGCATAGGGAGAGACATATTGAACAATGGAATATAATTCAGAGTCCAAAAAATAAACACACCTTATGGTTTATTTTTATTAATTTCAAAACAGGTGTTAAAGAAAATTCAATGGGAAAAGGTGCTGGGCAGTTGGATACCCATATGCAAAAAGATCAGTTTAGACATTTAACCCAGACCATACACAAAAGTTACCTCAGAATGAATCATATGCCAAAATATAATAGCTAAAACTATAAATCTTTTAGAAGAAAATCTTAGTAACCTTGAATTAGGCAAAAATTTCTAGATAAGACATCAAAAGCATGATTCATAAAATTGTTTTGATAAATTGGACTTCATTAAAATTAAAAACTTCTGTGCTTTAAAAGGTACTATAAGGAAAATAAAAAGACAAGCCACATAATGAAAAAAAAATTTGTGAATCCTGTATCTGATACAGGACTTGTTTCTGGAATATATAAAGAACCCCTACAATTCAGTAAGACTAGAAACAAGCAAATTTTTAAAATGTCAAAATATTTGAATAGACATTTCACCAAAGAAGATATATAAATTGTTAATAAGCACATGACAATATGCTCTGTTATTAGTCATTAGGGAAATGTAAGTTAAAAAAACTTCACACCCACAAGAATGGCAAAGAGAAAAACAGAATAAAAATTGCTGCCTAAAGTGTAAAGAAGTTAGAATCTTCATATGGTGATGATGAGAATGTAAAATAACACAGCCACTTGGGAAAACAGTTTGGCAGTTTCATAATAATGTTAAGCATCAATTTACCATACAACCCAGCATTGCACTCCTAGGTATCTACCCACGAGAAATGAAAACATATGTTTATACAAGAAGTTGTATTCAAAATTTTATAGCAGCATTATGCATAATAGTCTAAAGTTGGAAATCATTCAATGCCCATCAACTGGTGAAGGGATAACAAAATGTGGTTTTGGACCACTATTTAGCAATAAAAAGGAATGACACAATATGCTCAAAACATTATGCTAAGTGTAAAAAGCCACACAGAAGAGACTACATATTGTAGAATTCCATTTATATGAACGAACCTGAAAAAGGCAATCTACAAGATAATTATATGCATTAGGGGTTGTCTGGGGAATGGGGAATGGAAAGTGACTGCAAATGGGTAGGAAATGGTGCTAGAAATCTTTTTTGGATGATGGAAATGACAGAAAATTGGACTGTGGTGATGGTTGCACAACTGTGTATTTACTAAAAATTACTGAAAAGTACAATTAGAACAGGTGAATTTTATGGTATAGCTTTTTTAAAGGTCAATAAAAAAATCCATAAAAGATTATACTAGAGAGAGAAAGAAGAAAGTCAGTTTCCAACCTTTCCACTAAGAGTCCAGTCATCTGAAAATTCTCCCTCATAGATAGTATCATCTTCAGAAAGTAAAACCCCATTTCCCTAGGTGAAGAAACGAAACAAAAATCACAACACATAAAATGCAGAGTAACTTAACAGTACAGGCAGCCATATCCCCAAAGCTTTATATAACTTAAAAGACAAGAAAAACAAGACTAAGGTAGAACATTAACAAAATGACTATAAAGATAAAGACATTAAGAGTTTTAAAAAGTCAATAGTTAACTACATGCAAGTTATTTCACTCACCATCATTTTATTAAGGTGAAAGTTGCCTTCATAGTATAATCCAAACTGGGTAACTACCACACCATTCCCTTGACACACATCATCTTGCCACATTCCCATATACTTTTCCCCCCTGCATAGAAATGGAAAAGAAATGAAAAACCAATGATAATAAGGATGAGGCATAGAAAAAATAGTTATCACATGGGAGATACCAAGCATACCCTTAGTTTCATTTTTTTTAAGTGGTTAACTGTCTCCTCAAACATGGGATAATGTGATAGCAATAGACATCTTACTCAGAGTAATGCGCTCTCAAGAATGTAATATTGTAGTCTACCTGACATAGATACATATATTTTGTGCATATAAATAGATCTGTATTTATACTGTGTAAGTTCATATCCATGTATTTCCTTGATAACTTTACGTCACTGAAAAAGAGAATGCCAAGAATTCAACTCTGAATAATTTCATTCAAAATGCAATAGGCAGACTCAAACCTGTGTACAATTTATTCTTAAGCAAAAGTTTGCTAACTAAAAAAAAAAAAAGGGAAAGAGAAAGAAATGGGGTTTATCATAAAAGGCTTACTCTTCACCTACTTGAACTCAGAGAAATCTTACTAATCTCCACTAAAAAGACAAAATGAGTACAAACTGCTTGTTGAATAATCATGGAATTTAGTAATAACAGCAGATTTTTAAAAATCCCACATTTAGACAGAAACACGAGGTGGAAAAGAGTATATATTAAGTCCAAAAGTAAATCAGGCCAAACCAAACAAATATGGAGGCAAAAGAACTACATTCTTTCCCAAGGTTTAGTTGACTAAATTTAACTAAGTTTGATTCCTGGGTTATTGACATGGTAACAAATCCCTAACCAACAGGAAGGCCTATACAGATAGGTGTTTAGATACTATCCTATGGTATTTACATACCCCCAGAGACTTTCCATAGACTTTTACTCCTATTATCTGTTGACTGTATTAAGGGTTTTCTTTATACAGTGTTAATTTTTAATGATCCTGATCTTTCAAAGAAGTAACCTATTGTTTGGTTCATAAGCAAAAGGATAAAATGATGCCTGACAAAGGCTTTGTCTTATTAAAAGTTTTCTCAATCCTGTCAAATTAAGACACTCAACCTTCATAAATTCATCACTGTTTTTGGAGAAGTACAGATAACCTTACCCTCTCACACTAAACTGAGATTAGGAGCAGAAGAATACTGTACCTAGTGATATCATCAAAGACACCATATCCTGCTTTCTTATCCATTACCCACTGGCCAATGAACATACTGGGAGAAGAGGAAGTCAGCTTTCCACTTCGCAGGAGACCATGACCATGACGCATGTTATCTTGAAAACAGCCTTCAAACACTTCGCCAGATGCGTAACTGTAGTTAGAAAGAATGGAGAAAGATCACAAGCACACTGGATTCTGATGCTCATTCTTCCAAAGTTTAGGAAATTCAAAATTATAATCAAGGCTCAACAGGTAGCTATATTTATTTGTTTATATGATTGTTTTTCACCAATAAAAAAAATCTGATTTCTGAATGACTGGGGATAAGAAGCTAAAGATTTTATGGGTGGTATTCTGTGTTAACATGGGAAAAATGTATTTAGTCTCTTAAGGGAAAATGAAATAATGAGTTATCTTGGAAAGAATGACAGGTTTTGCCCATATTAGAGTCACGTAATGTAAGATAAATTTACAGGCAAGACATTTAGGGGGCTCTATGAGAAAGTTATGATTTATGAGGTTTGTGTAGTTTTGTACAATATATAAGATTTTATGGCTTAAGAACAAATAAATATTTTCCTCTTGTGAGAGACATGAGGTTGATCTTTAGAACACTTTAGACCATTTCAGTCATAAGAAAAGTAAATAAACTTTACTCCTTGGGAACTCTGACTATACATACCAAATTCAGGTTTACATGAATTCTTTGAAAAAACACCACCAGTCCAACAACCTTTCCAATGTTACTACCTATAGATTCCTTGACCACACATTCTTCCTTCTTTCCAATGGCCCACATAATGGTCTTCTTTGTTCAATGTTTTGTTTGGGATTCTGTATTCTCCATACCTGCAAAGGAGAATAAAAACATAAGAAGATCCATCTATGACATATTTACCTTTATATGTGTCATTTGCAAACATTTTAACAAGGAGAACCCAAAAAAAGATTGATCTCCAGGAAGAAAGGCTTAAATGGGGTCTTGGTTTAAGCTGTATCCACTACTTAAGCTTTTGGCAAGTCTTAGAAGAGTGGGACCTCAACTCCCCTACACAGAGAGATTAGGTGTTTTATCCCAAGTCTACTGAGAAACAGAAAACTGTGTCCTAGGCCCATCTCTGTTCCAATCAGCAGCACCATCTTCAGTAAGGCCACATACTATACAATAAGGGGGTGTAAGTCCACATACTATAAAATCAGATTATCTAAAGTCTCTTCTCACTCTAAAATTCTATTGAAAGGAGATTAAAAATATCATAAAAATCACACACAGAAAAAAATCACCTACCTAATTTATGTAACAGACTTTTTTATATAGTCAAATAAGTTACTTCTCTAACATGATACAAAATGCTTCACTGCTATAAATTTACTATGTAAATAATTATACAGGGTTAGGAAAGAAGCCATGACAAGCTTATACAAAAATAATGACATTTGAATGCCATTAGAATAATATGTCACTTAGAAGACCTTCCTTTTAGCATATCACAGAAATTAAAGATGACTTAAAACTACTGA